AAAAGCTGAAAAACGTCTCGCTGTGAAATTGGACCGCAAACGCTCGCATATCAGTTTCGTTTTTGAAGGTCTTCGTTGGTAATACATAAAATCCATGATAATCATGTACTTAAAATCATGTACATAAATCACAAAATCCATGGAATCATGTACAGTTGTTTGGTCTAATTTCTTCTGATCATTTGTATTTAGGATTGCTTGACAGAATTATTCAAGCTATCCATTGTTATAAACTCCACTGAAATGCCACTCTCACTATTATTCTAATTGCATGTTTAAACACATGAATAAAACAGTTGAAGTTCAATAACATGAGCGACCCTAGTACACCCTTCCAGTCCCAGCAAAACTTTGCCCACAAAAGGAAATCGAATCGGCGATGCATCAATTTCCAATGTGTACCGAAGTCACAGTCGTAGGTAAACTCTTGATTACTAAACTCTTTTGTGGAAACAATTAACGCCCACCGAACATTTATTCTATCTCATTGCCGAAATTCTGCCCTTTNTTATTGAGTACGAATAGCGCGAAATTTTGAATGGTTTGAAAAAAAATCTCGGAATTCTAGTTTCGCGAATGAAAATTTCCGGTTTTGTCCCTTGTTTTTATCTTTTTTTTTTCACATTGGTTTGAGGGATTCCGGGGAGTCCATATTTCTCGGAGAAATGAAACCGTGTGCTCCAAAACTCTCTCCGAATCGATTTTGAGATTTCTCAGCTGATTTCGGAATTCTTCTCCTCTCTTATAATTATAATGGTTAAAAATACAATTTTTTCTATTGTACGAAATTTAGATAGTACTGAAACCTTGTGAAGTCTGAAGTGTGATTGATGTGTTAATCTTTTGATGGTCATAAGGTGAATTTCAGCTTTTCAACAAAGAATGGAGTTCAAACAAAGCTCTCGCGCTATCCGTAAATCACTTTTGAGTGGTGCTCGGGTTACAGGAAACAAGGTTGACTGCTTTTTCCTGCTCGAATAATTTTCTTCCTCATAAACTCTGAACTTTTCAATCACAATGTTAAATTACAAATCTCTTTCCATATGATATGAGCCGGAAAATTTTCATCTTCCCAATTTTCAGCATTCTTTCAGAATTTTTCTTTCATATTTCAGACGAATGCCGCTTCACGACAAGTTAACCTGCAAATGTACGACGAGCCGCCGATCGATGATATTTCAATCAAAGAATTTGGTGAAATGGCCTTGAATCGTTTGAAAATTCTTCGATTGCTCGAACAATTTCAGGAACGTTTTGCGGGCAATTTGGATAAAGTTTGTGAAGCACTCTCGAAGGTAGAATTTCTGATTC